GCGTGCTAATAGAAAAGCCGGATCAAACATGGTGACTTTTATTGTAAACTCGAAACACTTGGATTAATGCTTGTGGTCTCAACATTAACAGGATCTTGGCAAAATTATATTTATAGATCATGATGTTATACAACACATGGCCTTCCTTGAACAAGAAAATTCTACCCTTGTGGCTTTATGTGGACAAGAATCTGTTCATCTAATGTCACAAAAAAAAGTCTCTACAATCTAATCATTTTTAGGAGGAGCTTCTTCTTGAACATGATAAATTTTTGTGTGTGGAAGAATTACATTGAAATCCCATATAAAAAAAATTAATTACCACAAGGTTCATTGATAACTAAATTAAATTGTATTGATAATACAACCAGTCATCAATACACTTTAATTCAGTTATTAATGGATTCTATAGTAATTAATTTTATGTGTGGAATCTGATTGTAATTCTCTCTTTTTTTTAATAAACTCTTCATTTCTATTTTTTCCCCTCTCGGCCATGCCCTGTAGTTTAATTTAATTAAAATTGTCTTATTATTAAAAAAAAGAAAATCTCACTTAGGGCCCCTATAGCATAAAAGTTTACATTTACCAATGCAATCTAAAAACTCTCTACAAGCCTAAGGGCCTTAAGTGGAAATATGTTTTAACGGCAAAAAATGCATTTGCTCTTGAACATTTTGGTATCAATTACAAGAAATTATATTGAAAGTTTATGAACATTGTGTTGTACATTTATAGATATTTTGTTATTTTTCCATTCTGTGCAACTTGTACATTTCAAATTAAATCATTTCCACGAGACTAATTGTACATTACTAGACATTGTGTCGAGATTTTATGAATATTATATTGTGCATTCATGAACATATGTTATTCTTTCATCCTGTGCAACTTGTACATTTCAAGTTAAACCCAATGTTGTGAAAACCGAACCGGACGGTCCGACCGTCACCCGTTGAACAAAACGGTCTGATTCAACCAATTAAACTAATCTGACCTTTGACTCAAGTTGACTCGGATTGAATCGGCCGATTTTGAGAGAACTGGCGTTGACCCGGAAACCGGACCCGAGTCAACCCGGGTCAACCAGGTTCAAAGCTAAAAAAATAAAAAAAAAAGAAATTTAAGTTGAGTTGCTTAGATTCACAATTTCTCTTCTCTAATTACTAATTCTCTCTTTTTCTCTTCTCTAATCTCTTATCTCTCCTTTATGGCCCAAATTCAATCTCTAACTTTTCCTCCAACATCTGCCTCCAACTCTAAAGATCCAACCTTTAGTATCGAGATCGAAAGCTTATGAGTCATGATATGACGGCATGCCTCCAGCTCCAATATTTTCCTTTGAGATCACAAGATTGTACTAACATGCCTCTACCTCTAGCTCCAACAATCCAAGCATCTAACTTTTGAGGTCGAAATCTCAAGCACCATTGACAAATTAATATTTTATTTATATAATTACGCATATAAATTTTATTTTTTACTTAATTTTTATGTCACCGATTTGACTGCCGGTCTAATCGGTTTGACTATAAAAATTGCGACCCGTTGCTCTTTCCGGTTCGATGTTCGATCCGGGTTTCAAAACATTGGTTAAACCATATTCACTAGATTAATTTTACATTATAGGATATGGTGTTGAAAATTTATAGATATTGTGTTGTCCATTTATAGAGAAAAGAAAGGCAAGCGCATCTTTTCTCATTAAAACATATTTCTACTTAAAACTCTTGGACATGCAAATAGTTTTTAATTTGTATTGGGCTCTAAATGCAAATTTCTATGCTCTAGGAGCCCTAAGTAAGATTCTCAAAAAAAAAAAGGTGCTCCTTGCTTGCAGTGCTAGTGTACATGCACAACTTTTTAAAACATGCAAGGCCTTGCAAATATCTATAGTTTATACATTAGTATATGTGCACACCTTTTAAAAACATGTAAGGCCTTACACATATACTAATATATAGGGGTGTTCATGAAATATGATAAGATCAGGACACTCCTATTTCATGTCTAGTCTTGAAAATGATCAAAATTAATTTTTTATCCCGTGCCCCGTTTCATTCCACAAGTCATCTCATCCCGTTAAGAATTGAGATGTCCTATCATCTTGATAAAGTAGACAATGTGAGAGAAAGGTTTGGATAATAACATTCATTAAAATTTTAAATCATATAATTTATTAAATTTAAGATTAAAATAACACGAGTACATATAAGTAACAATAATTTACTGTCAGTTATTGAATTACATTAATTACAACTACAAATGTATAACATATTATGATAGTAATTATAAATAATTTTTAGGCTATAAGAGTAGCATAACAGATAAGTTAGGCACAATATAAAGTCATTATTATTCTTCTTTAATTGAGATATGTTAAGCTAGTTACTTTTTCAAAAATAAAGCAAGAAATACGATATAAATAAAAGTTATTAAATAAATAAATATAATAATAAATTATATTAATATAATTAATATATTATAAATAAATATATTATCCTATACTATTTACTCTATGTCATTAAAATTATAAATATAAAAACTTTTACTTTTAAATAAGAATTGCACGTATTAAAATTATAATGAAAAAATATAACTTTGAGTTTCTACACTTTGTATATATTTTGCTATTGGTCCTTGTATTTTTTTAATATTTTAAGTCCTTACATTTTTATTTTTTAATATTTTAGATCCCTTCATAAACAAAATATAGGAATCTTAGGAGACCTAGAACGCAAAAAAATAAAAATATTAAAATCTAAAACACCAAAGAAAAGTACAAAAATCAATGGTAAAATACAAGCAAAACACGGTGACTCAAATTTATGTTTTTTCAATTATGATTAATATAAGTATAAATTATACTAATATAATTAATATATTTAATGTATATTTTTAAAATAAAATAATATATAAATAATATATATATATATATAATATTTGGGATAAAATATCCTGGGCAATCCCATATTTTGTCCAAAATTTTTTTTCTATCCCATCATACAAAATCTTATTTTAATATGATCAAGATGAAATTAAATTAACTAGAATAGATATAAGTTGAATAGTTTTATTAATGTTTATGCAATCACATGGAAGGCCCTACAAAACTTGAAGCATCGCTCACCCAACTGCATGAACTATTTATTAATGACTTGTCAACTTCCTTGCTATAAATATCTTCCCTCATGCCCCCACCACGCCTTTTATTATTATTATTATTATTATTTAGTTTAATCTCAGAGCCCCCTTTGTGATACAATGCCTTGGTGCTCGGAGCCAGGCAGGAACGAAGCTTCTGTAGGTTTCAATTCTTATGGTATGAGTTTCTCTTCTTTTTCATTTAAAAATCATCGTGTGCTTCAAATAAAAATGATTTTTGAAATAGTAACTAGTAAGTTATGCTATTATTCTATCCATTTAAAAATAAAAGATATTTTAATTGAATCTCACTTTTAATAAAATAGTTATTTATTTTTAAACTAACCTTATCTTTTCATATTTACCCCTATTAAATATCTTACAATAAATATAAAGTTATTATTAATAGAGACACTTAAAAAAAGGTAATGATTACATTTCAAAAGATTAAAAATGTCTTATATTTTTTAACATCTAATTCTTCAAAAAATGTCTTACATTTTTTAATGGAGAGAGTATTTATTTGTTTTAAACTTTGAAAATTATCTCTTCATGTTTTGATCAAGTATATATATTTAATATTTCTTATTATTACATACATGTTTAGTAGATAAATAACAGTATTCTAGTGGAAATGTAAATGTTAAGGGAATATAATTTATGGATAAATTATATATTTATTTAAAATCAAGTTTTTTTTTTGAAACTTGACAGTATTTATCTAATTTTCTATAAATCTTACTTTTGTAAGTGCACTAACACTCCAACATGTTGGATATATCCAAAATAATGGAATGCGTAATAAAGAAATGATAATAAGGATAGGAATGGAAATGAAGTAAGAATAGAAATATCATTACTTACAAACTCGTTTGGGGTGTTTTAAATGAGGCTGGAATATTTTTGTATATTATGTTTGGTAAAGTAGAAATATAATATGAATAGGAAGATGGAGTATTAATTGACCAAAGTACCCTTATAGGCGAAATATTTATTGGTAAATAAGTGGCAAATATGGCTTTTTCATACTTTATTCGTTTTCGTTCAGTGTTTTTCCATCATACTTATTAAGGAATGGTCAACACATTGTCAATGAGAAAATAAATGGTAGAGCCGTGGACGGAAATATGATTTTTTTTCTTGCCAACTGAACATTGCAATTTTTGGCACGGTGAATTTTTTCCCATTTCATTGGCTTTCAATGCCTATAAACCAAACAAAACGTGAGTCAATATAAATTTAGAAAAAAAAATGTAGAGAAATAATCCATTTGAAACAATAGAAGAAATATAATTTTGGCAAGCTCAACCTATCAATTCCGAGGCCTGGCCGAGCTCAACTAAACACACCCACATCAGATTGAAAAAAATTTCTTGGCTTTGGAAGTCTTGCAGGTAAATGTTATTTTTCCCCCTCTAGCATTTACAAATTATAACATATTTCAACTAGAAGGTTTTTTTTTTTTGGCCAGAATTAGAAGAATTCACATTTGATACTTTCCGTATGGACAATTATTCAAGAAAAAAAAAAACAGATTTTGCATAAAGTCTACGACCTACATATTTCTCTAACCTATCTATAGGACAAGAAGATGCTATTTGTTTTGGTATTATTTACAAAATATTTTAATCATTATTATATTCATCTTTATCATCTTATCTTTATTAAAGTTAAAAACTTTATTAAATATTAAAATATTTTTTAAATAGGTATATTTAATGAGATAAAGTTAAAAACTTGTTAAATTTTTAAACAAAGTTAATAAAATTTAAAACTTTTCTTAATTTTTATAAAAATACTAAAAGTGATTTATAAATTAAATTATAGATTATTATATTATGCATAATACAGAAAAAAATCCAAAAAATTCTAACTGCACATTTTTATTTGAGTAAATATTAAATTATCTCAAAACAGGTTAACATATATTAAAAAAAATTATGTGCATTTTTTTCATCTTTTTGTTTGATGTGCTATCTATGTGCGTGTGAGAGCGAGAGGCCAGCAAGGTTCGTTTGGGCACAAAATCGATGACATCTCACCGTCGCAAAAAGACACTCTGGATCAAAGCATTTTGCACAATATCTATCCGGTGCTCATGCGCGTTCGATTCGCCGGGAACACACTCCGACACAGCGCTTAGAACCTCCGGAGATGGCATGGCATCGGCGCGGCAGACGGGACAATTCGGGTGAGAGAACAGCCACATATCTATGCAAGGCACGTGAAAAGAGTGCGAGCACTCTGGCAACGTTCTCACCTCTTCGCCTTCCTCGAAATCTCCCAAGCACACCGCACAGGTCACCTCCCGAGCACCTTCGACTTCATCGTCTATCTGCTTCTTGTACTTGTGAGCCGGAATAAGCTGCGCCAAGGAACTCTCGTCTGTGAAGCTCGACGCCTCCGGCGTTGGTCCGGCTCCGTGAACATTGCGGTGCGGCCGATGGTCCGAGTTAGGGTCAGTGAATTGGTGGCCGCAGAGGCAAACGGCAATTAGATGGTACATTGTGACGACGAAGGCGGCGGAGCCAATGGCAATGAGTACGACGGAGATGTTGCTGGCGAAGAGAGGAGGATTGTCGTCGGCCATGGATGATGTGAGAGAGAGAGAGTAGAGATATTGGACTGAGTTGGATGAGATTGAAGCTATAAAGCAGACGACAGCCGGCCCAGTGAATGTAAGATTGTCGTTATAGGATTGGTCTCTTTGGTTCTGATGTCAACGTTTAGCGTTTTATATATTTCGTTTTTTCTACGTATAGATTCATCAGCTGAAGATAAGAACTAGGTAGGACTAATTGAGATAAAATAATAGTGATAATTTTATTTAGAGAAAATCATGTTTTTTATTTTAAATTTTGAAATTTGTAATTAATCTACTTTGTTTATGAAGCATTTTTATTGAAGTTCAAGGGCGTCCCAAATGAAGTAGAGTGGTTTGAGTTGAGCCAAGGCCGTATTGTAGGACACTCTATCCACATGACCTATAATTGCGGGCAATAATAACGTAACATTGACGAGTTGCTTTGCCTTTGTTTTAGGCAAGACTCGAATCAAAGAGTGTGGTTTCGACGTTTCGTTGACGTGAACCGGATAAAAGATTCAACCTACAAAATAACGACTCAATTATGTATTATATATAATCAACAACAGACCATCTTACTCCTAAAGCCTTGAAAAAGGAAATCTATGACAATTAGATTCAATAATACTATTTTAAGACATCTCCAAATATTTTATAGAGAGAGGTGACTAAGTTATTAATTATATTTAAAATATAATAAACTTTTAATTTCATCCATATTTAAATAAAATTTTTAAATTTGCATTATATTATCTCCCATAATTAAAAAGTTTAAATAGGGGCAATATTATTAGAAAAGCATGATTAACACCTCATGAAATGATTTGTATTAAGAATCAAAGAATATTATAGAAGGCACTCTATAATATTATAAGGACTAAAGTGAATAATATTCACGTACTTAAAAATAATAATTTCATTTAGGATTTAAAAATCTTATTTATAATTGGAGTTCTCAAATTTTCAATTTCTTAAATCGATATTTACTAGTTATTTTTGAAAAAACTGTTATTGAAATTTGACCGTCATTAATTCACATTCACTTACTTGAAATTTACTTTCATTTTTCCTTTCTTTTCCTATATTATTATTCTTATTTTTTTTTTGGAAGAAATGATCAACCAACTACTTTAGTAAAACGTGATAGAAGAAAAGACTTGACAAATTGGACGTCTGATTCTCACTCCTTAATTCAACTTAAGTAAGTGCATATAATGAACTAAACATGACAAAACAAAGCCTCCGATTTCCTGTACGTAGGGACGTACCGGAGCATCCAGCTTCACTTGTTTTTGGCATTTGAACAAGGAAAACTACTCCCAATTTTAAAATATAATTAGATAATTAAATTCATGTATCATGCGTAGCATGGTTCTTGCATTTGAAATGGTGTGAAAATGATAAATTAATGGTGACACCACAATGTAAACACCCCAACGTTACAGAGCACACAACAAAAGGTACTTCTTGCCTCATTCATCCTGGAAATTTGCTCCTAATTTTATACTTTTTTCTTATCAATTTTAAAAATAATTGATTGAGTTATACTTGACATTTCTTCTCTCTCTCTCCCTAATCTTTTATCAGAAAAAATGACGTGCTGAACCTGCTTTTCTTTTTTTTTTGGAAAATTACAAATAGAGACCTGCAAAAATCAGTAATAATCATTGAGGATCATAAAATCTTGAAATTGAATTTAAGCACCAGAATCCTTTTCTGCAATTTGCAAATTATTGTTATGATTAAAATACCCATAAAAATAAGTTTCTTAATGAGTTAATATGCACTTCAAACATGAATGTTTACTCAAAACACTATTTTTTAAACAGCAAAAAAAATCATGGCTCTTAAATTCAACTTCAATATACTGAATGGTTATTACTGATTTTTACATGTCCTTAATGGTGATTTCCCCATGCCTTTTTTTTTTTACTGTGCATTTGTGTGGTTCAGCAGTGTCAGCTAATAGGAGAGGAGCATTTAAGGATGGAGGGCCATGCCACCAAAAACACAAGTGATATATATATAATTTCATTTGACTAACATATTCAACCACCACCACTTTTATGGCTTTCTGGAATCAAACATACCAAACTAACCGATTTCTTAGGTAAAGAGATGCCCTCCTCTTCAGATCAGTGTCCTACTACTGAACAAAAGGATATCTAGAGATATAATACTCTCTTACTCTAGATGCTCCATCCCTTGCCAGAATACCTTCAAGATCTCCGATGATTCTGGCCAGCCATATCTCCAGATTTCTCTGTATCTCTTTCAAGTTGTTCCTTATGGAGTCTAATGACCTCCTCGTGCCGCCTAGCTCCTCCCTGTAATAGCTCTTCCCAACTTCACTCTGCAATGCAATCAGCTTCTCCCCTGTTTCCGATGCCCTCTGCTGAAGCCGAAATGCCTCCAGCAAAAACTCGGTTTGTCGCTGTGTTCGGAATTCTGTAGTCAGGGTCGGTTCACATGGATCACTCCCCTGCTATGAGACAGACGGGCATGTCAACGTAAGTTATGAGATATCATCTCAAATAAAAAGAGGAGAGAAAATCAATAAAGGACTTTGAAAGAAATTTAATATCTTGAAAGGATTTCTAACAAGTGAATTTATTGTTTCAACAAGTCCAATCTTTATCAGATAGTAAATTCTTTCAGAAGTCCATCATTATTATTCTCCCAAATTACATTTTTTTTGGGGGGGGGGGTGGAGCCCACATCTTACACGCAAATAGACAGGCGAAGTGGTTGATCTACCACTTGGAAGTAAATTTTCTTCAAGACAAAGAAAACTAGCAAGTGGGATAATAGATGATAAAGATATGTCCAGTTTTTACAAATTTGGTGCCCATTTGATTTGTGGTCCAATGTATCATAAATGCTTGCACGAAGGACATGGTTTTGGTTCTGTTATAAGTCTTGATCACTAGCAAACTACATCCTTGCCTCCTTTAGATGGAAACTGTTGAGAGTCGCATAAAATTTAACTACAAATAAAAGAAACAGACAAGTGATTGGGAAAATATGATACCATACCAACCCAGATCTCCTCCGATTAGCTAAAGGAAAAACTGATGTACTTAACCTTATATAGTTGATATACTTATTCCCAATCAAATCATGACAAATAGATCTTAATGTGTTAATAAAATTAATAACAAGAATTCGTTATAAGACACATAATTTATACAAGATACACACATATTGATTTAATTAGAAACAAGCACATTAAATATATAAGGTTAAGTATATAAGTTTTCCGCTAAATATGTGCCCCATACACATTAAATCATTCATTTAATTATATTTATATGAGGTCACACTATTCATTAATTTATGAACAATGCAACTCGGCTTAGACTGTGTGCAACATATGGGACCCACTCGCTAGTCTGATATCAGTTTGGATGAACACCATTTTGGGACCATTCATCAGTAATATTAGCTGGTTGACATAACAGACAACTTATCATTAGAGCATGACCGAGATTCTTTGTCCTCCTGTCCTGTCCTCCACTAAGGCACAGACTTCCCAGGGACAAGAATTTTATCGTGTGGTTTTTGACACCCGTTAGAAGACACAGATGTTCACAAACCCAACTGATAAAAGATAATAATTGGATAGTACCGTGTTTCAACCTAAACACAGATGAATGATTATGAGTTTCACAGATGACAAGAAGATAGCAACAAAAAGCAATAAAGTTGTAGGTTCTTTTAGCCAGTCAAGTTGGAGTTAACTTACTATTCTTCTGCATAAGTCATCAATCTTTTCTGAAAGGGCTTGATATCTCTTGGCCTGCTTCCTCATTAAAGATGGCACCTTTGATAGATCACCCTTACCAATGTTTTCAAGATTTAACAGTTCCTGTTCAAGTAATTTGAGTTTGGAGGAGACTCCAGCTGAATCACCATCTACCTTCCAAGGGGACTCCCTTCTGTGTAAAAGAAGATCATTTACCCTTCAATTACTGGAAAGTTGATCGTAAAAACTTAGAAGTTATCATCTTTTGGACTGTCAATTTACCTTGCCACAAAATGCTTCGTGTTATACATTGATTCATGGGATTCATGCTGCACATCCTGCAAGAGTTAACACTCAAAGATCAGAACTAGTTGTTCATACAACCCACAAAGAGTATGGTTCTAATTTATTACTGGCTGAAACTATCCGCAGTGTGAAGTTAAACGAGTTTGTGTGTTAACTTTTTACTAGAGATAGAAAAGCCATCATTTAGTCGTGTGAAGCTGCAATTTTTAATAGTTGAAGCAGAATATTACTAATTTCAGGCTAATCTAAACAAGATCCCATTGCAGTCGATCGTTCCTTATTGTCTCTCATAAAAGCTACCCTTCAGAACCGCCCATGAAGGTTCTAGGGACTGTAAGAAGAAGAGAACAAAGAGAGGAAAGTGAGCTAATCTATCAGTTTTACTGGTAATCCAGCTAAACTTGAAGAATAATTTGCAGACTTGCTTTTCTAGTTTCCAACAGATCAAGTCATAGAAATTAACGGCTCCAGCAATAGCAAAACCATGCCAACAGACAATAAATAAAAATGATGTCCATCACACGTAAGATAAAGATGGTCCGGTTAATAATGTTGAGCAGAGAAAAGGACTAGCACCCTGTAGCCTGGTGATTTGAAAGTGGGTCATATATGCATGGTAGCATATATGTATATCAGCAGACAAAGGACAAGTTGCAACAGGGAAGAGGCAAAAAGAGACAAATAAAAAATGGTTGTCCGATCCCACGAAGTTGATTGCCCTCTCAACCCAATCATAGCCCTTTACCAAGTTAAAGGAGTGAATTTGAACGTCACAGTAATCAAGAAACCTTGGGCCAACTATTATAATTCTAAAGCATGAAGCTAGAACAAGTGGGGAGAGACCAATATACAGCTTAGAAGGGTCTCAAGAGCCAGAATCCCAGAGCAGAAAGAATAAAGAAATGATGATTCCTCAATCATTAGCTGAGAAAGTAACCCAATTTCCATGACCTATACTTGAAGTTGTAAATGAAGTTTAAAGGTTTTCTTTTCTCAAGAAACTCAGAAGGAAACCAAAAGAAGAAGAAAAAAAAATGCTCAAACCTGCAAGAGTGTGGCTCTTTCTGCCCAAAACTTTGAAGCAGAGGCCAGAAACTCAGAATCAAACCCATTTTCAAGCGGTAGATACCTCTGACTCTGTTCATAGAAAACATCGACTTCCTCGACATTGCTATTTGTTCCAGGCATACACTCCTTCGAGTCCCTCTGAAACCACTCTCTATGGTCGTCCCCGCCGTATTCCCTGCTCTGACACGCATCCAATTCCTCCCCTTCGTCCTCCCCACCGTGCCCCCTCGACATGAAGCTGAGCATCTCGTCCCTTTCTCTCACTTCCCTCTCCAATTCCTCAATCCGAGCTTTCGATTCCGCCTCGGACATCTCGAATTCCGCAACCTTAGTCCTCAAATGTGCGATTTCTTCGGTGGCGGAATCGATTTGGTGAAGCAACCGCTTCTCCTCCGCCTGCCACGCGTTGCGGTGGCTAGCAAAAATCTCGACGACCCTCGCATTGGCCTTGGAATCTTCTTGCCTCCTCGATCTCATTATTCTTAGCTGCTCTTCAGCCTGAAAAAGCTTCAACGAGAGCTCCCTCAGGCGAGATTGCAGGGTGTGAACCAAAGGGAGTGCATTTCTGGGCAGAAATGCGAGAAAGAGGGAGAAGCTGAGGCCTACGAAGGAGGTGGTGAGCTTCTTGAGGTCGTCATCTTCCTCCATTGCTAGTTGCTATTAGCCTACTACAACCTGGGCGATTTGATTTGTGAAATCTCAGAAAAGAGTGACAGAAAAAGAAGAGCTTTGTGTGTTTTTCAAGGTGAGACAGGAAAAGGGGCTCCAGTGGAGTGAGTATGTGGGTGCTGCATCTGCGTGAGAGAACAGAACAGTAATTGTCATCTTGCGAAGCTTCTTTCTCTGGATAGTTGTAGCAGACACAAAAAGGGGTCGTGTTATGAGGTTATTTACAGAAATAGGACCCCACCATCACCGCTCCCTCACATTATCGTTTCATTATCGGATTGTGGAGTTAGTTAATCACAGTCACAAAAGGCCAACAAGGTTATTAAGAAAAGGGTTAACTTTTATAAAACATTTTTTATCTACTAGTTAGTGTTGACCCAAAATATACTTAACACTTTTAATTAAATTATATCCTTAATAAATTTATTAATTATTTTTAAAATTAAACATTCTTTTTCATATAGAAAGATATTTATATTTAGTGATCAACTATCCTTCAAATAAAATTATCTCTGATAATAAAATAGTTATGAGTAATAAAAAAATTACATACCTTTTTAATATTTTCATATTTTTTATTTAATATAATATTTTAATTAAAAATATTATTAATTATATATTTAATTAAGGCTATTTTTAAAAAAAATTTCATTAATTGCATTTGGAAGACTCAATATATCTTCTACATATATATATATATATATATATTTTTAGCATTGATAGTTGTTTACATTTTAACCATACAGGCCACCTTTAACTATTTTGTTAATTGGTATAAAATAATTTAAAGTGTCCTATATTTTTTTTTAAAAAAAGTGGTATTAAAATTCAATCACGTTTTCAAAATGCATTTATAATGTAATCAAACAAATTTTACGTGCATAGCACTTTTTAAAGTGAACAAGGGCACAGACAAACAATGTAGGAAAAAGGAAACAATGAACAGCTAGATCCAGTGTTAGGGTCCCAAAAATTAGTGCCTGGATTCAAAAATATGTTCATGTCGAGTTAGACAAATTCATATGTAATTAAACAGTTCTTCGTGATAATGCTTCTTATATTGTCTATGGCATTTCTGAATTAGTAGATGATGTCTTGAATATTTCGTCAATATTTGAAATATATTTAAACTAAATTAATTTCATATTTTATATTTTAATTATTTAATTATATATTTTCAATAATTATTTATTAATAAATATAAACTTTTATGAGTTTGCAATTTAAATTTACATCAATGTCATGAGTTTATTTAAGTCAAGAAGTTTGACAACATTGTCCATGGGTGAAGTCCATGCAAAGAAATGAACTTTTTACGCCGCAGGCCTAACAAAGATTAATAAACAAAATAATTATTTTTTCGTATTTTAATAAACAGTAGTTTCACGTGGAGTTTTGTGCTTGTCCGTTGTCTAAATTATTGTTATTCTTTGTGCTTTTTTTGTTTTCCAGTTTTCGCTACTTTCTTACCTCACATTCTATTGTTCCTTATATTGGAGCGTCAGAGAAATATCTAACCAGTCTTTAATGTTTCAACAGTTTAGGCAGTTCATTGTATCCCTTGTATAAAATTTATTCTAAAAACAAAAGTTTATTAAAATTATAAAGTGTCTAGTTAGAATATCAAATTATGTTTCATTTTTATCCATGTAATTTTTATAATTTTCTAGTAACTTGAACAATCGTGCTGAAGTTCATTAAATTAATAAGAGCATAATTAGAATATTATGATGTTTTTGAACAAAAAACTTAAAACAATTAAATGACTTTTCTCAATTTAGGTGAAAAATACATGAAACACCTTGTACTAGAGAATGAACGGAATAATTATCAATGGTGATGTGATATAAAATTAATTAGATTTATAATTTTGGTTTTACTAAAAATGATATCTTGGATTTAGATTAGGATTTTGTTTGAATAAATTTAATTTTTTAGATTATTGTAAAATGTCCGTATTTAATTAGTAATGATAAGGTCACTTTGTACTCGTCCTTCTTGATTTATACTTTCTCATGAGTGTCGGGAATGATATGATTCTTGTAGCTTTTTTTATCCTAAAGTCCAATTATGTTTTTTAGTTAAGACAAAAAAAAACAAAGATTTTATTTCCAAGTAATTGGAGGCATTTTATTCATACATGAGGTTGGTTTAGCATTTATTCTTTAATTTTCACAATATTTGATACTCATCTGTCCTTTTAAAGAGGTTATTTATTGATTACACATGAAAAATTATATAAATCCATATAACTTTTGCATTCAGATTCTAAAATTTTAATAATAGTCGTCTCCAACATACGCACCTATATTGATATTAAAAATTTAATAGAAGTGAAGATAGATATCATATACTTTGAACGTTTGTAGCATTGGGCAAGCAAGGACCAAATAGTATGAGGCAAGCAATCAATTAAAGCTTGTTCACTTTGCAACGTCTAGTTCCAATGTACTTCATGATTTTGTCTTACATTTCCATTATTCTTGCAGCTACATCTTTCAGAGGTTCTATTTGTCCCAGAGAATTTCAAGCAGGAAGAGAACAAGCTTGTTGCGCTGAGGCCTCTGCTTTCTTGGCTTTCTCCTTCTCAAGCAAGTAAAGTCTCTCTGCTTCTGGGATTGCCTGTATGATTGTCTGCAGCTTCAAATTCAACTCCTCCATTTTCTCCATGATTCTGTCATTTGTAAACATTCCCAGAATCACAGTGTGGATGGTTTCCCAACTCTCTATCAGTGGCAAAGCTATTATCACTGCAGAACCAATGGTTCCCCAACCTATAGAAATCACAGCCCAGAAATAGAAGTACCCCTCACTAAACTGCCCTGTTCATATGAACAAATCACACCAACAGTTTCAGTGAAATATGCTTTCAATATGTATCCTTATGATTAGAATAAGAACTTACCTGCTGGGAGGGAGAGGATAGGCCATATTATAGCTATCAAAACAGTGAAGCCTATGCCCCACCTCACTATCCATGCTTTGGCCATTAACAGCTTCTCTTCTCTGAACTCTTCTGCTGGAAGATCAGTTTTTTCCTTCTCAACAATTGTAATTTGTCTAGTGGTAGTCCAGTCATAGTTCTGAGGCCATAACATGCTGCTGATTGCATGAATTGCTCCTCCAGTTAGGATTGAGACTAGGTTTCCAGCTAGCATAGGCGCATTTCTACCGGTTGTATCGAGGTTTACTGAGCCATACTCAATCTTTGTAACAGACAACCATGTGATGATTCCTAGGACACAACCAACAACTGTTCCAAGGATGGCCCCAATTGCATTTGCTCTTCTCCATAGAAGCATAAAAGCAATGGGAAGGACTGCTGAACCAATCAGAACTCCCATGGCAAGGTACATCCAACCCAGAGAAACACCAGCTTTGTTTAGTATAACTGCTAACAATCCCATGAAACACCCAAAACCCAGGACTACCCCTCTTGACACTTTTAAGATTTTCTTTCCACTTGCATTGGGATTTATGTAAGCACAGTAGATATCATATGTGCATAGAGAGGACACTGCAATTAGTTCTGATGAGCCAGCTGAAGTCACTGCCCTGATCAATATACCAAAATCATCAAAACTTTAATAATGATGCTTGACAGTTGATGGCTTCTAATTGTATAACAATTTGCCAATCTTCATCATTAGACATGTCCCGTAAGTTGGTTTCTAGCTACGTTTTGAAGAAACAGATTGCAACTTACATAAAAAGCATTGTAAGAAGAAGAATAGATCCTCCTTTTCCCATTAAAGCCACTGCAGTAGCAGGGGGAACTAGTCCATGACCAGCCTCGCTTTTGTTATCGGCAAATCAAGGGCTAGGGCTCCCAGACCCAATGAAGTGGCCAAAGAAAATGGCACAGCAAACCAGACCAACCCTCCCAACAAATAGCCCTTGTGAGTTGATGAAGGTCTTGCAGCAATGGCACTCACCCAATATCCCTAAACATTCCCAGTTGAACATTCAGTAACAATATCAATTTAAACTTAGTTCATAGATCCAGTCAATGCAAGTTATATTGGAGACTTCCATACAATTAAATGAACAAACATCTTTTGGTCATGCTTACATTATCCACAAAGACAGTGCCAAAGTTGCCAACAATATTTATAATCCCAAAAACCAAACCACCTGAACTCAGCATTGTCAAATAAGATCCTTTGTAATTCCCTTGAACAGGACCACATGATTGGCCATGGTGTGACATGGGCTCCTGACATGTTCTTGATCTGCTTGCAACCTCTAGCAAACGGTTGTAGATGACACTGGGGCTGCCAAGGTCATTGCTTGCCGTATAGACAAGGTACACAAATATGACCAAAACAATATGAACTGAAAGTTAAACAAATTACCCAGTTAATTATTGATAATTCTTAATGATAAAAACACATATTTTGTTGAAAGGGGTGAAAAAAATCTTAAAATGAACAACCTATGACAGAATGTATATAGCTTGCCAAGAACGTGGCTTTGAGGCCTCCAGCTAGAGTATAGACAATTACTCCAAGTGGTATTAGGAAGCTAGCAGCATAAATGTTAACACCAGTCAAAGCATTTACAACAGCAGAGCCGCCGAGAAGTAACATGGCTGTTACAATTATGTTTGTCAAGAAGCAAAAAATGAGGAATACAATGTGTGCAGCTGTTCCCCATCTGAAACAAAGAAGATGTTGTCATTAAAGTGACAAGAAATCTTGTCAATTAATCCAAACCCAATTGGCTTACCGAGCTTTGACAATTTCACAAACAGTATGAGCATGAGGAGCTTTTCTCTTAATCTCTATGGCCATGATTCCAAACAACAGCACCTGTTCATTGTAATTTCAGCCTCATTTTCACAGTCTGATGTCATTAAAGATTACAAGTTATGTTTGATGAAGATAAACTTTCATGCCTGGATTGTAGCTCCACTAGCATACCAGAAAGGTCCACTAATTCCATACTCCCAAGCAACGTTTGAACTTTGCAGGATTGTCGCGGCCCATGTCCACTACACAAAACCATAGTGATTAAAAGAAATAGAAAACTAGCAATTTCACGATGAAGTACCAATACTTTAAAACTATAGTTGTATTATCATACCCGACATCTAAACATGAAGCAACACTTCAAATTAATTTCAAATAGTTGTATTGTCTCTCTTGTGTAGCATTTTATAGCTGTATTAGTGATTCTTAGTTATTGAATAGTGCAGTATCAGTATGAGGCTTTGAGTGAATATATTACCTGAGACACAATTACACTAGCAATCAGTCCAGTTTTAACACTTCTTCCTGCAGTATTGAACCATTCAGAAGTATGGCGGGACCCAACATATCGCTTCTCTAGCCATACCTGATTCATAAGCTCGTTTAAGAAAATCAATAACTTGATTCTGATGCCATGAAAGTCAAGAGTTTTCGTACTGACAAGCAAACATGGAGTCGAAAGGAAGAGCTTGAGTTCATAACCTAACAGCGACATGACAGAACAGAAGAACAGAGGAATTAAAGAAAGGAACGAGCTTGCAAGGGTTATTACTGACCAAGAAAGAGGTGAAGATAGCGAAGAAAGCACCAAAACCAAGAATGACAGAGTATCCAACTCCCTGATTAAGCACAGGTTTGCCTTCAAAGAAACTGCTCTGCCTCACACAGTCCCCTCCGTTTTCAGAAACATGATAATAATTTGCAGAGAATTCAAAAGGTGGACACTGTGATTGAGAAGCCATGAGGGAAGAAGGTGGAGGGTACAAGAAGGTCCTGCTTTGCCCTAGAGAATTGCAACTGAATCTTCCCTAGCCTCCGTTTCTTGGGGATTAGTGGAAATTTAAAGGCCTTGCAGCCAATTGTCAGTCATTTTGCACAAAAGACGAAGTATTAAATAATTTTTTAAGTGACCTTTATTTACATTTTTACGGAACTTCTTTTATTAAATGCATGTTTTTAAATAATTTTAATGAGTTAACAACTTTTTTTTTTTATTTCCTCTCAGACAGCTGGAAGAAGATTCTTGTAATTAAGACCAGAGGCACAATAATGGGTTTGGTAAGTCAAAGTAAGAAAGGTATCTCTTGAGACCAGAGGAATCTTTGATTTGGATTCAAAGTTCAATCAATCATGGAAGTATTTGGAGTCGCAAGTGCTGAATTTTGGAAATAGATGTTTGACGTCATGGGAAAGAAGCCAGTGTAAAATTGCTCATTCATTGGTTGCCTGAGTTGCCAAAGCATTGCGTTCGACTGTTTGTGTTTTTTTTTTTTTTAATAAGATCACAATTTTTTATTGGTCAATTTCTTTTTCGCGAATGATTGGTCTAAATTTACCGCTCGTTTAAGCTGAAAAAGATATCACACAGAATCTCCAGCTAAGACGGAATGGAAATTTTTTTAAGGATAAATCCACGTGACCACGTCCAACGGAACGATTAATACTCAGATCATTGCTATTATCCATATGTTCATTATCGCAGTAAGCTGAAGGGCAATGGTAAGTGATGTCTGCTGACTATCGATTGGCTTAAACTGAATGTAGATAAAGCTTTTGCTGCAAATCAAATTTTTGCTGACTGTGGTGGCTTGATTCGTGACCATAATGGTGTATTTAAAGCTGGGTTTATGCACAAGATGTATGACAGAGATCCCCTAAGTGCCGAACTGTGTGCTTGTTTATGTGGCCTAGAAATGGCATGAACTCATCATTGAGACTAATTCTAAGGCTAATGAAGCTATTATTAGAGATGTAATAGATACCCATTAAGATCATGAAGCTATCTCTAAGATCAAGTTCTTACAGGCTTATGATTGGGTGGCTACTATTCAGAAGACCTGGCGTGATGAGAATGAGATTTCTGATTCTCTAGCCAAGCAGGTGCTTCCGTGTGTTGTTAGATTTCAATTTCATCCCCTGCACTCTCACCCTCTCGAGTTAATTCTAGTTTTGCAGCAGGACATTAAATCTGCTTTGTAGGTTTTTTTGTTTTTTTTGTTTTTAGGTTTTATCATGCCCCTGATATGAAAAAAACAGAATCTCCAGCTAAGTGATGCAAGATCTCATTTATTATATGATTAATCTATTAATAGGCTATACAAGATATCCAGCTAAATGTAATAGAATATCATAAATTTATTGGTGAGCAAACCTCATAAATTTTAAGTTAGGTAGGTATATATATATTTATCCAATCAGGTGCACTCTCTCAGTCTCTCACTGTTCTTAAAAATAAGGTTGATTTGAAAATTTTTAATTTGTTTTTAAATAAATGGTTTCATTTTATTTTATCTCTTGTATTAATTTTTTTTCTTTTCTCACTGTACTTTTATTTATTAAAACTTTTATATCTCCGGTCCTTAAATTTTTTTGCTCATAAAAGTTTAGATAAATTAGGTCTTGAAGTTTGTCAAGATGAGAGTATATTTTTAAGTACAAAAAACACTTATAAAAGTATTTAAAGATAACTCATCAACAAAGTCCTTGCATTAATAACACATTACAAAATTAATTAATAAATGGTAATATATTTTAAAAAATGTATCACACATTCTCTACATATTAATTACATAACTAATTTATTTTGATAAGTTATTTGAAATAGTTTATAGATAGAATCTTTTTTCAACAAAAACCTTCATGACTAGCTTGACATTCTTCAAAAAACTTAAATACTAAACTTAACTAAAATGTTGTTTTCATTTTAAATAAACCGGCCATTGATTTGATTACTAATATTGAGAAAACGCTTTCGTTTTCTAAATAAAGTTTTTCGTGACAATCTGTTGCAGCATTCTACCCGCCTACACACACACACACCAATTTACTAATGGGAAGGTTATTAAAGTGTCTACAATAAAAGTTCATGAAATTTAAAGTTGTTATGAAAATAGAAAGAAGAGAGACAGTAGGAAAAAAAATAGCAAGATAAAAAGAATTGAGAGAGAGAACAAGTGAATATATTTTATTTACTTGATACTCAATACTTTATATATGACCTCTATTTATAGGCCTTTAATCATTAAAGTCTAACTTTGATATTGCAAATCAATAAAGAAGGATATCATAGTATAGTATGTAACCTTTTGCATCATTCTTCATTTCTCATAATCTTCTAATGAATGGCTTAGAAAGAATTTATCAAAGTTAATATCTTATAGCCTCTAAAGGTTATATATTATGCTATGATCTCCTTTTTTATTCATTTGTAATATTAAAGTTAAATTTTAATAGTTGAAGGCTTATAAATAGAGGCCAAATACAAACCATTGGATACCCAAATGAATAAAATATACTCCCTTGTTTTTTCTTCCAATTATTCTTGTTTTGTTATTTTCTTTTCTACTCTCTTTCTCCTTATTTTCATAACAAAAATCAACATTTTAGACTCCTTTTTTTCCAAAAAAAAAAAAACTTCTAATCCAATCTTTTTCCATAGAAAAAGAAAAGGCATACAACCCATGTCAATGCTGGCTTTAAACCCAATACCTCTTCTAAGAGAAAGAGGTGATATTACCACTAAGACAATTAGCCATTGACAAACTTAAAGTCTCAAAGAATAAATAAGTTTCTATGAAAAATTTGAACCAAGTTTCATATAAAAAAACTTATGAGTTAAATATTCTCACCCTCTTTTTATTTTGTCTTATTTATACAGACCTTATCTTTATTTTGGAAACACATGACTTAGCCCAATCCATTAATTCCATCAATAATAATCCATGATTTCTAGCCGATTAGCTTTCGTAATGTGGTGTATAAGGTTATTGCGAAGGTGATTGCTAATAGAATTAAAAATATAATGTCTTGTATTATTGCTCCTAATTAGTATAGCTTTGTGCCTAGAAAGGAGAGCTCAGATAATATCATAGTTGTCTGGGAGGTGATTCATTCTATGCTTACTATGAGGGGAAAAAAGATTCATGACCATTAAAATTGATCTCGAAAAGGCATATGTTTATGTTCAATGGACTTTTATGCAGGATTGTCTTAAGGAAATGAGGTTTCCAAGTGAAATGGTGAACATTATTTCGAGCTGCCTCAAATCTCCCAAGATGCAAATTCTTTAGGAAGGGTACAAAGATGGAGGAATTCTTGCCTACTCGTGGACTACAACAAGGTGACCTAATTTCTCTTCATATTTTTGTAATTTGTATTGAGAAACTTGTGTAGCTTACAGCATGCTTATCTATTGAATGGGCAAGATATAGTTAGATGGAAGTTTGAGAAGAACAGCTCCTTCCCCATCAAGTCTGTTTATGTTTTATGTTGTGAAGATGATACACCTCCTTCAACTTTAAGTAAACAACTATAAAAGCTTAAGGTTCTCCAGAGGTGTAGGACTTTTCTATGGCTTGCTATGCAAGAGTGATTACTTACCAACAATTTGTGAAGGAGTTGGGATATGTGTAATAACTTGAACTGTTTAAGATGTGGGTATGAAAACGAAGAAGTAATCCATATTCTTCATAACTACCCCGATTTCTAAAGAGACCCGGATTGCTGTTCCGCTAGAATTTCTAGAGCAATTTTTCAAGCTCCACGCCAAGGCATGGTTTAAATGGAACCTGAGTGTGAACACCGGAAGAAATGTCGATGACTAGGCCGCACGATTTTTGGTTATTTGTTGGCTTATGTGGAGAAGGCGTAATGAATTTATTTTCATAATAAGGATACATATAGTGTAAATCTGGCAATGTATGCTAATGGTATTTTCATTTGTATGAAAGTTGGGCATTTAAAATTTGGTACGTCTAACTTGAATTAACAAGGGCTGATACAAAGGCTGGTTGAGATTATCAGTGCCCCTTCTGTTGTCAATATATATGTAGATGGGGCTTACTTGCTTTCGTACGAGGTCGAGGAATCCTTAAAGATTGGAATGACAAGCTGAAGGGTGAATTCATGCTTACGCTAACAGAAGGTGATGCTTTTTTGGCTAAGCTTTGGGCTTGCATCATAGAATTGAAATGCACTTGGGGATAAGGGCTTTCGAGGAGTAATTCTACACAATGATTGCCAAAGGGTAGTTAACATTCTCCGTAGTGGGAATATTGATCCTCATGAGCACTATGATGAAATTAAGGAAGCACATGAGCTGTTGCAACGTGAATGGTGTATTATTGTCCAGTTTATTTCTAGAGAAAGGAACTTAGAAGCCAATCTCTATGCTGAACGGGCGTTGGACGTTGCTCCTCGCTTTCACTATCTTCAACTTGAAGATCTGCAACGTGTCATGTCGTTAGAGCCTCCCTAGGTGGTTGTTTGTTCTGTTTTTGTTTTCTTCCTTACAACAAAATTATTTACTAATTTACCCCTTACCCTAGTAAATCCTAAATTATATTATTTTGACAATTACATAATTTCATTGTCAAAATATATTTATAAATTTTAAATTTTAAATTTAAATTATTTATGCAATCTCTCAAACTTATATCATTTTATGTTATGTGATGAACAAAAATGTGTGTTTAAAATATGTTTTTATCAATTTTAAAAAACATAAATAAATAAGTTTCAGTTGATTTAATAAAAATTAAAATTTTATAATATGATAAAAAATAATAAATTTTCTAATATAATAGAAGTTTCAAAATTTATTTACTATATTTTTCTAGTTGTATACAAAAAAATTATTTTTTGGAAAATATAGATTTATAGATAATTCATATGTTAAAGTGGGGTATTTTGTCAAATTAAAAATTTAAAAGACAAACTTAACGGTTGGATGAATGAAAATATAATCTTAAATATACAATAGAGGTTTATGTAATATATATTTTAATTTTAATGGAGGTTTATATGAGTTTTCAAAAGGAAAAAACTT